ATTATGTACATGGCTGTATAATTTTGAATTTGTAATTCCCAACCAAGGAAGAGAAATTTGTGATTAAAGTGGCCAGTAAGACATAACGCCAATTTCATATGTAAAGACCTAATATTTATACAAATCACTATATTTTAATAAATTAGGAAAAAAATATAGGAATTATAGGTAATTTGAATGACCATTTATTTTTACGGGTATTTATAATAAAGTTTTATGTATTTAACATTGTTGACGCAATCATCATTTCAGCCGAGAGACGCCCACTACTGGGCATAGGCCTTCCCCAAAGATCTCCAACGTGATCGGTCCTGCGCCTCCCGCATCCAGCGGCTTCCCGCTACCTTCACCGGATCGTCGGTCCACCTTGTGGGGGGCCTGCCAACGCTGCGTCTCCCGGTACGCGGTCGCCACTCCAGGAACTTACCGCCCCAACCGCCGTCAGTCTCGCGAGCGATGTGAAAGAGTAATTACTGTATTATGATCTCGCAAACGGCTCCAACAATTTTCATGACATTAAGTATGGAAGGGCTTTCAGAAGCGATAAATCGATTTAGTTATGTTTAAATTTTTATTTTATAAAAATGCCGAGTAAAGCTTAGTCATCCAGGTTCTAATCATTTAAGAAACTAAATTTTTGATGCAACTTATCAAATAAGAAATGAAATAAACAACCAGTATTTTCTGCTAATATCATACAAAAGTTTAATTATAATACACAGTTTTTTTATAACAAAAATAAAACTCATTAACTTAGTTTCATTAACTTTTAACGCGTAGTCAGCCGCTTAAAAGTATTGAGTAGGTAGGTACTATACCTATAGTACTAGAAGACTATTTGCCTCGGGTAAGAGTAAAAATAGGTAAAAACAAAGCCTTTATCCAAAGTAATAAGAAGAGCAGTTAGAAGGCCCTTAGGTAAAAAAAAATATGATATAGGATACATGTACTTCAAAGGATTTTAATATAAAAAAAATTGGAGCACCTAAGTACTAAATATCGTAAGAAAAGAGTGACAGAATTGACAATAAAATTAAAATTGATGTTAGATAAAAATTTACTTAAATAAAAAAAAATGACATTATAATGAGGCAAATAAAAATAAAATTTCCGAACTTCTTTTCGTTGTGTGCAACGACGTACCGTTACGCTCCTGCCATGTTATATTTGTGAACTTTATTTCTTTTTCGTGTTAAATAATATCAGTCGACATCTTACAGGTTTTCTGCAGACATTAAGATTAGAAATATATGCTTTAAAAATGTCAGAAAGGGTGAAAATTGGAGATACACGCTTTATACAAAGATATGTTCTTTATCTTTTCAAGAATCTTGTTTTGCCCACTTACTTTATATGTTGTACCTAAATGTAGATATATAAGAATTTGTAATATTTTTATAAATAAAGCACGTTTAAAATTATTAGCTATTGTTTTATTATTAACTAGCTTTCCGCCAGCAGCTTCGCCCACGTGGTCCATATAAAGTTTACATCCCTATTTCATCCCCCTAGGGGTTGAGTTTCTAAAAATTCCTTTACTAGTGCTCATTGACGTTGTAAGAACCAACATGCAAAACACAGACATTTTAGGCTCCCAGACTTAGTAGGCGTTCAGGCTTCTACAAAGATTACAATAAGGTACAGCGGTTTGGGCTGGGCGTTGATCTCTGGGTTAGCGATGGGCGATTATTACTTAAAAAATCGAATTAGTCGATAAAAGTCGATTAAAATCAATATTATTCGATTGTTGTTAACAACTAAAGTAAACGCAGGTATTACCGCGGTAGTCGAAAATCTGCAGGTATCATCGAGGTATGTGATATAATTATAATTTTAGGCAATGGCCGGCATATCTTCTTGAATTTATTGACCGCGGTATACTCGGTAATAGCATAAATGAATACTAAGTTTTATTATTTTTTTAAGAAAACTATATAAAAGCAATCCAGATGGTTTGGTAATTCGTTCAGATAATTATCGTAAAAAAAAATTTCAGCGGTATAAAAATTGCGTTAGAAATCTTATTTTGTTGTCCTAAATTAAACCATACAAAATTTACTTTGTATGAAAGCACTAAGTTAATACAACATGAAACCATAACCCAGTCTGTATTTTAAACCTAAGTACTTAATTCAAAAATCTTGTTTATGTTTAGGTAACTTTATTAGTCATCGTTTAAAAAAGTTAATCAAATTTTATCCCTTGGAATTACATTATTTACGCTATCGCGTGTAGCTGTCACCGATGATGGAAACAAGCTATCTAAAGTCACCGACTGTTATTACTTGATATTAACTTCACCATAGAATTCTAATACCGATCGATAATAGCACTTATTCTTCAGTTTAAGGTTCTCTAGAAACAAATAAGTACCTCATGTAAAATTCAAAACCTATACCTACCTATTTTTCTAACTCAGGATTTAATTTTTACGTAACAATCGTTCTACCATTGTAAATAAATTTTATCTGCTGTGGTGCTACTGTACGATTGCCACACATTTAGCCAAACATTTAAGGCTACCACTTGCTTTTAATACAAAAATAAGTTTATTTTTTATTTCTTTTTCCCATAGATTAGTATTCTATCCTTATAGCGCGAGTCTGATAATGGCCCTTGGCACAGAAAACACGCTATTATAAATAATAAATTGTTTAATAAAACTGAAATACAATTAAAATAACTAAAATGTAATCTTCACGCAAGCTTGTAAAATATATTTAAATTCTTACATGGCGGCTAAAAGACAGAACCAAAAACAATAGACTTCATAATAATAGATAAGAAAAAAGGTCAAGGGTGAGTTATGCACTTATACACAGATTATATTCTAAACACAAGGAGACAGTACACGGACTGGCCGCCCAGATATAGTTAAACACGGACGTAGTGCTACATCCTGTTAATTATAAGTACTAAATCGAACGGAATGAGGAAGTATTTAAAAAAATTAAAGAAAGCACAAAAAGCACCTCACTAGATGGCGACCCTAGCAAAAGATGATTTTTGCAGGAAACAAATGGACTAAAGACAGTCATTTCCGTTCCTTTTAACTAACATATAAAAAACTGAAATTTGAAAAGTTCGAAACTTAGATATCAATACAAATACGAAAAAGTACAAATAGAGTATGAGTTGTTTATTGAGTTTTGAAAACTAATTTACTTTTAAACATGATAGAAAACCGTAAGAGTTGTTATGAGGAAATCAAGAACGTACCGTAGCGACATCTAGTTGGATTTCGGGAAAAAATGTTATTTTTTTAAATACTTCCCCATTATAATAGAACGGACGACGAAAAAGGCACGGAAAAACATTTTTTACCCAAATGCAATAATAAACACAAACTTCTAAGACGAAAATATTATAATTGACTTTTAAATTATGATGCTTATTCTTAGGGTAGATCCTAGGAAAAAGTTTTTATTTTGCTTGGTTATAACCAAACATTTTCTAAAATGGTAACTTTTATAAACTTTGAAACAGTGTGACCATAAACGGTGGATTATTACCATTTTAGTCGAATATCTCCTGTATTAGGTATGCTATATGTATGTGATTCGAAATGTATTTCATAGATATTTTAATTTAAACTAGGTTAACACCATCATAAACAACATTTAGCAATTTTTCTAAAAACCAAATATTTATTTATTATGCGGCATAAGTATTGATAACTCTGTAGTTATCAACACTTATGTGAACTAATTAATAAATACCATTCATATTAAAAATATATGAATTGTGGCTTAATAGTCTAATTTCAAAATCTATTGCTATCCATTTGAAAGTATAGCGATTGTGATTAAATGTATAGAATTATGTAACGTTTAAAGTCGCAATCGCTTTCGGAACGATTGATGATTTGAATGATCTCGAAACGTAATATATACTTTAAACCTAAAGTAGTTTATAATATCGTGAATATCTTCAATATTGTTTATAAATTAAATAATAAGGGCTCTGGCTTATAATAGGCTAGTTTGATAGAGCTAACATGAGTTTAATATGGATGTAAAGGAGAAATGAAATGAATCCATTATTGTATTTTAATAGAAAATTCATAAGAAGCAATTTTTGGGAACATTTGTTATAAAGATAATAATGTTATTTTTTTTTGCGCACGTAGATGCTCGTGTTTTTATAATCTTATGAATTAAATAAGATTAACGCAACTAAATAGGGTATTTGACGCTTATCTGAAAACTATTTAAATGGTTGTTTGGTACATTATAAATAAATTTGAATCTGTTTTATTTTTGTTGAAAATAAATGTTTAAATAGCTAAAATCGCTCAAAAAAACGCTGCTCTATGTATATTACATGATTACGTCACAAATACCACGTAATAGCGCTGATTACGTGGTATTTGTGATGTCTCATTAGTATTACAGAAGAGAAATTGAAGTTATATTTCATATTTGAATCTATTCTGGTTTTGTTTACAAAAATGATCTTCGAGTTGTATTTATAAATACAAATTATGCGTATCTCTAATAAGAATGTTTTGACATGACAGCTTCCTTCTTATGTGTGACGTCACACGTCAGTAGACAAAACCTATTATAGGTTGCGATGACAACGAATTACAGGGCGCTTTCGGGGTAAAATATTATTTTTTTAATGTTGCATTTTCTTTACGTTATTTTACTAAAGCTTAACATATTTTATGTATAGATTCTAAGAAATAAATTTCATTAAATTATTATCTAACAGAATAAAATTATTTTCGAAAGTGTCAAATACAATATTATCTTATGTACACATTGACTATGAGATTGTAATTGAGTTAGAGTTACTAATTTGTAAATCGAATTCAGAAAATTTTATTTTTATTCTATATATATCTGGCAATAATTTACTTTAGCAATGATGGTGTCGTGTGCCAATATTTGGTAGGTTTTTCTGTTAGTAATAGCCATTTTGGTGTTTTCAACTTGGTCACACTGATTGACTTGACAGCCGACTGTAACATCCGGCGTGTCGACGTGAATCGAGTTCTTTTTGAAGCGTACGCCATAGCTGGCGTATGGTAGTTTATTTTATTGATAGTAAAATCAAAAGCCATCCAAAATGGTGAGTATATAATGTAGCAAATGTGCTTAGAAAAGTGATTCGGTGTTATTCCACTATAATTTAGTACATATATTTTATGTGTTAGGGGATTATTGCTGTACTTTTAACTTTTACTTGCGACTGTCTTTGTCGTCGGATGACGTTTTCAAGTGTTGTGGGGAATACCTTTAGTGTTTGTGGAAACATTTAGTCTTCTTAAGGACGATTCTAGGGATTTTTGCGATGAAAAGAAATATTAGCGAAAAAATGAAACGTGCGTAAGACGAGTGGAGTACCATATGTGTTGTGATAATTACGATGTCTGCTAAGTGTTTTTTCTGGTCTGCAGGTGAACTTTACAGTGGACGAGATCCGTACGATGATGGACAAGAAGCGAAACATCCGCAACATGTCGGTAATTGCCCACGTCGATCACGGCAAGTCGACGTTGACAGACTCTCTGGTATCGAAGGCCGGAATCATAGCCGGAGCCCGAGCCGGCGAAACCCGCTTTACCGACACTCGTAAAGATGAACAAGACCGATGCATCACCATCAAGTCCACGTAAGTACAAACAATGGATGTACCAAAATAATTAACACATGGTTCCATAACCTTTTTTATAACTTTCTATTTTGAAAGTTATCAAACAAAGGAAAATGCTGATATTGGTGAATACAATTATTAAGAGATTTTAAAAACTATTTGTATAAATATATTGCATAATTTTATGTAATCAATTGTTTATTGTTACTCCTTAATCCTTTGTTACTAAACAATATGATGATTGTTCTTACCATTTCAATCTGATAATATACATTGAAGATTCTTAGAACGGCCATCTGATGCTAATTTTAAAATTTACCAACTGAATTGTTTTTATAATATGCAGAGAATAAAGTGCAATTTATTTTCCAGAGCTATTTCTATGTTCTTTGAACTGGAAGAGAAGGATTTGGTTTTCATCACAAATGCTGACCAACGTGAAAAGAACGAGAAGGGTTTCTTGATCAACCTTATCGATTCCCCTGGACACGTTGACTTTTCATCTGAAGTGACTGCTGCACTCCGTGTTACTGATGGTGCTCTGGTTGTAGTGGATTGTGTATCTGGTTAGTAATCCAGTTTGATGTTAAAAAAAGAAATGGTTAATATTTGTTCAAACCTCATAAATTATTATGTTATTTGTAGGTGTGTGTGTACAAACTGAGACTGTGCTGCGTCAGGCTATTGCTGAGCGCATCAAGCCTATCCTATTCATGAACAAGATGGACCGTGCTCTACTCGAGCTGCAGTTGGAGTCTGAGGAACTCTACCAAACCTTCCAGCGTATTGTTGAAAATGTGAACGTTATTATTGCCACATACTCTGATGACAGTGGTCCCATGGGTGAGTGAATATGCCATACAATATTGTAATTATAATTATCCATTATAAGTAATTATCATAAATTAAATTTGTTAACCTTTTTATTAATCAGTATATCCAGTTGGTCAGCATGGTGATAATTTTCATTTCATTCATTTGCTTGTTGTTATTGCATAATATGAAAACACTTGTCCATTACAGTTGTAAAATATGGAAATGCTAATTTGTGAAAAATTGTTATGAAATATCTTCATTTATACTTTTATATATTAAATATAAAATTGTTTTGAATCATGATTGTGGGCAGTCAAGTATTACTTTGGTGTTGCACAACATTATTTAGTACAGTACTTTATTTGAGGGTAATTAATATTTTCTCTAGTCCAATAGTGTTGCCCTTTGATATGTTTCATAGTCATTAGGGTGTCAAAGAGGACTTACACTAAAGTTGTTTTAAATGCACAGTCGTAAGTTTATTTGGGCTTATAGTGTAAGTAGGACACACAAGCAAACATGAGTTTTAAATTGTTTATTTAGTTCTGAATGCTAGTCAGTAAAGGCTTGGCAGGAATTGTGTAAGAATTTGCCTAAGAGTAAAAACAGTTTTTTCTTCATAGCTGGATATAATGCCACTCAATTTTGTCCCTTTATACTATGATATCAACAAACAAGGAGAGAACTAGAGTAATCCAGCATTAATAGTATCCTATTTTTATTAGGTGAGGTGCGTGTAGATCCTAGCAAGGGTTCTGTGGGCTTCGGGTCAGGTCTTCACGGATGGGCCTTCACCCTCAAGCAGTTCTCAGAGATGTATGCAGATAAATTCAAGATCGACCTTGTCAAGCTTATGAACAGGTCAGTTTATTGTTTTAGTAACATTTTTTCTAATTTTTTTTCTGGATGGTTTATTTATGTTTAGTTTGCTTTTATTTTATGTCACTACCTCTAAATTCATCCAAATTAAGTGGAATCTTTCTGTCACACTCAGGTGTTTTCACAAAATAAAATTAATAAAGTAAATTATAATATTATGTAATAAATGGACTTGGAAGTAACTACTAATGGTTAACTAGTTATGGTTTGAGTTGAGTTGGGTAAATTTTATTGAAATGCAGGCTCAATTTGATACAGGGGTTAGAGCTACATAAAAATGAGGAGATATTCCAATAAAAATAGTGTTATATTATTTTTTTCTTTTCAATATTATAGATCAAATTCCATGTCAATTATTTGAGTCATAGCAAACATCATTGACTACATTAGATAATATTTATGATAACAAACTAACAACATTGACTCTTCAATGTGGTGTGAAGTTCACCAGTACATGGTAACGGCAATGCACAAATTAAAACACTTAATGTTTAAGTGTAAGATATAACAAATTCATAACAGTTTGTGTCACTGAAGTGTGACAGTAGAACAGTCAAGCTGACTTACAATATGTAAATCATGGTCAAAACTGGGGTTTTGTAGTTCTTTATAAAAGCAATTTTTACACTGAAAAACTAATGAAAACCCATTAATTACCCAGCTGATTGTTTCCACCGCCGTGACAGTGTAGTTTGAACATTTCTTACTGTTTTATGTAATAGTTTTTTGTAAAAAGTGAAAGTACTGGACAAAATTACGAGGAGAAAGGCAGTGATGTGAAAATTGTGACTCAAATTGTCGATAGCAACATTGCCACGTGTTCTATACGTGCAGAGATAGCTTCGTGACGCATTATCAGAAAATTCGATTAAATATATTTGTAGAAATGTTAATGATTTATTTAATTTTATTTCAATCTTGGTTTAACCTTCTAACAGCAACTCCATTTAGATATTATATAATGCATAGTAAAAAGAGACTAGGTCAGATATTGATTGTATAAAGGCATTGACATAGGGTTACCACCATAAAGAAAGAACACGTTCTTTAATTTCTCGTATGCGGCGTGCATACCATGTTAGCCGTTAAGCGTGCAGCAGTGGTATGCGGCCGCCTACCATGATAGTCTACGGACTGCGTAGACGTTCTAAATTATTTGGGTAAAATTTCAGAGCGGGTTTTATTTTTCATAGTATATGATTAAGATGCTGTGAATTTAATAATTTATGACGCACTCTGAGATTTTTTTATTTTGAGCCACTAGAATGATGATATGAAGTTGCTAAAATTACTCAATCAATTAAACAAAATTTCTTAAATATTCGATTAACATGCTATTATATATCTAAATAATTTATTTTTAATGATAAAACTTGTTGGTGACGTAAAGTGATATAAACAAAAACATAGGTTTAGCTAGGCTTCGTATTCTGTCCGTATGTAGTAACAACTAAGCATTTAGAATAGGCTTATGCCTTACAAGTGAAAATACAGATTTTTGTTATATGTTCGGTAAATATGAACTATTCTGACTAACAAAATATTTTTTATGATACTACTTTAAAAAATATTACGCTTTGAAAACTTGAAAAATAGTATGGAAAATGTACTACAAAAATTTGCTAAATTATATATGGCATTAAATTGGTTACATAAAGCATTACAACTTTCGCTATAAGAGCTATAAACATAAACCACAAATAACAAAGATAGTCTCGTACAAACACAACTAAAGTATTTCTCTAAATAACATAAAATATAACCACTGACATACTACACTCATATTCAGCACGCGTAGCGTTACGAATTCGAGAACGTTTTGTCTACACTCAAATGTCACTTTTCTTGGGTGCGCCCATACTATATCTCACTCTCAACCCGAGAAACTGACAAATGAGTGTAGACAAAGCGTTTCTCGAGTTTTTCATGCTACGCGTGCAGAAGTGTTTCCTTATCCTAATAAAAACTTAAAAACTATTCTCGTCATAAGAGTCCCAATATATATATTACTTTTATATAGTGTAGAAATTAAAAAGCATTTGAAGTAAATGGAGTCAACATTGACTCTAAACATAAATATATTTTATCAGTTGAAGTTTTTACTCTGAAACTATCGTCTTATTCTAGATTTGCAGTAGTTTTAAATAATCTATAACTTGGTCATTTTTATTAACGGATTTTAATTTTGTTTTCTGATTTATTTTAGTTCTGAACAATTTTTTTTATTATATTATGTCAAATATAATAATATCAACATAATGAACCTTCCTAATTTCTTCAAGGTATATTTTCAAGAACGTGTAAGTTTTTGTATTTAAAAAGTACGTTCGTAAATTTACCTATTTAAGCCAATGGCAGAATTACAAAGTCTTTGTTAGTTGTCATTCACAGTGTGAGGTAAGAAAGAACGAAATGTTTGGCAAGAGTTTAGACTAATATTGCCTGCACGTATTTCTTAAAATAAATGATACATTATAATATGTTCTTTCTGTATTATAAATTTATCGTCCTGTTGATACTGGGTACAGATATCGATGCTATACACCAGCGGCAGAAAAGGACGGACATTAGTTTTCTCAGCAAGGATTGGTGAATTGTTCATCTTGAGCTTTTTACAACGAGTGCTGGGGAACACTTCCATATTTTTTACAAAATTAATAGCTAAAGATTTAAAATAACCATATCTCCATTCAAAGATTTTATTAAAATAAGTTTCATCAAACTCAGTAGTTAGTAGTTTCTACCCTGTAACTAATAGATGAGTTACCAATGACATTTTATTGTTAGACTAGCGTAAATTTTAATGTGGTAGCGTTACATTATAATACAACCATAAGAGACGCGAAGAAATCAAAAATAGTTATCTCCTTATCAGAATCTTCAGCATACCTTTTGTTAGAACGAGATGAACATACTCGCATAGCTTTACGTGTCAACTTCTGCATCCTCATAGATCACGATGCACGAAAAAACGGTTTTATTATTTATATTTAAATAAAACAGAACTTACGCATGAAATGATATCTTTTTTGCTTTTCTCATTGTCAATGTGTAATTTGTGCATTGTTTAAAGGCATTTTTTCTACAAATTTTCACAAAAAAACACGAGTGAGTGTCAATGTTGTGCGCAGATAACCCATTTAAACTTTTTAATATATTATTGTGAGTTACTTGTAATTGCATCTAATAAATGATTAAGTATTTGCTTTTATAACAATTAACCAGATACTAATACCTTTAGTTAGGCAAGCATGTGCCTCTGCCTATATAATATTAAAATTACAGATTTCATTAATTTTCATCATATTGTAATTAAAAAACATTAGTTTTTAAGCTAAGTACACAAATATTAGATAATGGACAAAAAAAATTATACTAATTTCTTTTCAATTGAAACATGATTAGATACTAATCTTGATAATTCTGAATCAGTCTTAAGATCTTTATTGATTTCTTTACCTCGATTAAAAACTAAGCTTGCTTATTTGATTAGGTCTTTTTAAAATAAAGAATATATATTTAAGGCTAGAATTATTTAAATTGAGAGAAATAAAATGTAAAACCCTTTCGAAATTCATTTGAAAACATTTCTAACAGACTTTGGGGAGAGAACTTCTTCAATGCACAGACCAAGAAATGGTCGAAACAAAAGGACAATGATAACAAGCGTTCCTTCTGCATGTATGTGCTGGACCCCATCTATAAGGTGTTTGACGCCATCATGAATTTCAAGAAAGAGGAGATCGACAATCTGCTAAAGAAGATCGGCGTTACACTCAAGCACGAGGATTCAGACAAGGATGGCAAAGCATTGCTCAAAGTAAGGATATTTTTAATGCTTCAATTAAATGAATAGTATCTATATTAAAAATGCTTTTTAAGGGACCGTTGTCCATCAACATTTTTTAAACCTTTTTTTATGCGTGGCATATTTAGTACTCTTTATTGACTAATGTGCATGCGTTGGCCAAGGAGTAAGCTTAATCGATGCTAATGAGAATGGGATTAAGTCCTTACAGCCATGTTAATGACTATATTATATTTGAATTTAAATATTAAATATTTATATGTTTCTTATTTCATGAACTATGGTATCTGTGTATTGTAGAAATATTTTCTTAATAAGTATTTATTTTTGTTATATCCTATATGTATATCTATACTTTCTATTATTTACATACAGAAAAACAATAAACATTATATGACATAGGCCCTGTCCCCACTGCAGGGGCTCAGGCCTTCCTTATGGATGGTTAAGGAGGATGGGCCATGATCCTCCACGCTGGCTGGTACTAACGACTGCAAATGCAGCCGGGACCAACGGCTTAACGTGCCTTCCGAAGCACGGAGTAGCTCAAGATAATAATTTTTTGGTCACCCATCCCGTGACCGACCTTTGCGAAAGTTGCTTAACGACTACGATCGCGGGCCGCGGCGCTTATCCACTACGCCACCAAGCTACTTACTACACATTTAGATATTAATTTTGTAAGTTATTGTCGGTCTTTTTTTGTTATTCTAATGTTATGAAGTGAATATCAATAAAAATATTCTTATTACCCACCCCCTTTTTTATGAACCCCCCCTCCTCGAACCTCACGTGATTAATAGACGGCCCCTAATGTATTTTTATCATATAAGTGACTGTTTATAAAAAATATAATATTACAAAATTAATGATTAAATTATCCACTTGCTGCTGTGCATATTAAGTTAGTTACAGTCCCAGTGTTGCCAGCTGCTTCTAATAAGCTTCTGGGTGTCAAAGTGGACTGAAATTATACTTCTTCCCGGAATTGGTTGACAGCTTTTATAACTGTTGACCCCATAAATGGGAGATACAAATAAAATACTTCATTTCTATTGTTTCTTTGATCCTCCATGTTGTTGTGATTTAACACTAAATGATTTGGCTTTGAACTTGTATTGTAATAAAAGTAAGACAAATGTATATCAACATATATACAAAAGCACTCAATTTGCTTTATATTTAGGTAGTGATGCGTACTTGGTTGCCAGCTGGAGAAGCCCTGCTTCAGATGATTGCCATCCATCTGCCCTCACCTGTAGTAGCCCAGAAGTACCGTATGGAGATGTTGTATGAGGGACCCCACGACGATGAAGCCGCCATTGGCATCAAGGTAATATAATGTTATCCACATCATCTTCCCACTACTGACTTTTATATCATTTATTTTATCAGCATATACTGATGTGACTAATATGGTGTAATTAATACACAATTAAATCCTTCCTCTGTCAACACTTATTTGGCGGAACACATTAAATGTATTTTTATCCATATTTTTATAAGCATTACATAGTGCGGCTATAAGATTTATTAAAAGGCTAGATAGGTTTTATTTACTGTTATAAATTAGACATACAATTATTATTTTTCTGTAGAACTGCGACCCCGAAGCGCCCCTGATGATGTACGTGAGCAAGATGGTACCGACCTCTGACAAGGGACGTTTCTACGCGTTTGGACGTGTGTTCTCTGGCAAAGTAGTCACTGGACAGAAGGCGCGCATCATGGGACCCAACTTCCAACCTGGCAAGAAAGAGGTTACTATAATATTGGACATTTAGCATTTTAGTCTTTAAGTTCTTGTTAGGTATATTTTAATGATACAATGAAAACATTCTTGATGTGATATATAACAGATTTTTAACAATTTAATAAGTATTCTTCTGGCACATTCCGTGTCGTGCCGTAGCGAGTGCGGTGTGCATATCATATGGTGTGTGTATCGTACGCGCGATGATGGCGGCGGCCGTGCGACGGAAGCAGACTATATAACGACTGCGCTACAACGCTGCATAGGACCGCTATCCTTATGTCCAGATATTGTATGCTGACGCGTGGACGATACAGTTTTATATTTCATACAATGAATAAAATTGTATAATTGTGTTATTTTATGATGTCTCTTTTATCAACTCTATGTGGCTTTTAGGATCTGTATGAGAAGACCATCCAGCGTACGATTCTCATGATGGGTCGTTATGTGGAAGCTATTGAAGACGTGCCCTCTGGTAACATCTGTGGTCTGGTCGGCGTCGATCAGTTCCTCGTCAAAACTGGCACCATCACCACATTCAAAAATGCTCACAACATGAAGGTAAAATTTCTTTATGCACAAGTAATATGTTAGTTAATTATATATTTTTAGTTAATTTTTAATAAAGAAAGCTACCATGTAATTTCATATAACATAAAATGGGTGGTGGTTTATAAATAAAACAACTGGATACGTATTCTTTATTTTTTAAACACAGTTTGTAGTTTATATTTCTGTTTGACAGTATATATTTGTATAATGTGTGATGTGTAGGTGATGAAGTTCAGCGTGTCGCCGGTGGTGCGCGTGGCCGTGGAACCCAAGAACCCCGCGGACCTCCCCAAGCTGGTGGAGGGACTCAAGCGGCTCGCCAAGTCTGACCCTATGGTGCAGTGCATTAACGAGGAGTCCGGCGAACACATCGTGGCCGGCGCCGGGGAGCTGCATCTGGAGATCTGCCTCAAGGTATGTATATCACATCACCGCTCCTGCTGCCAGATGCATATACAGGGCTCGGTCCTGGATAGAGACAGGCACTCGTTAAACTTCTAAAAGAATAGTTTAAATAAAAATTGAAGATTATTTTTTTTCTGTGAAATTTATAATGCTTCCGCAACATTGTATGTGCATTTCCAACCTTTCTACTTTAAAAAAGTTCTAGTTCAGTTAGAATTTTGGTTTTATTGCATCCCAAATTTTTTTATACTATGCACTTCCAACATCATTGTATACAGGATCTGGAAGAGGACCACGCTTGCATTCCAATTAAGAAATCCGACCCTGTGGTGTCGTACCGTGAGACTGTTGCTGAGGAATCTGATCAGATGTGTCTGTCCAAGTCACCTAACAAACACAACAGATTGTTCATGAAGGCCCAGCCCATGCCTGAAGGATTACCTGAAGATATTGATGAGGTAACTAACTTTATACTATTATATTTATGTATGTGATAAAAATAAACAGAACTTGTTTGATATCATTACTTTGGTTTACTATACTTAAATAAAACTTAAAGAAATTTTTCTTTCTACAAGTTAAACCTTTTTTTCTATTTATTTTTCATGTAGTAATTATAACCTTTAAATCAAATAAAAATATTTTATTTCAAAAACACATTGTGTTTAAAACATTTATTGTGGTCTGTCTCTTTTAGATGCAATTGAAAGCAATGCTACATAATTCGAGATTGGAAAAATTCTATGTACCTACATAATATCCATATTATAATTTTGATTGTAATTTTAATTCGCAATGTAAATGTAGTTAATTAATTATTGATTTATATAATTGTTTTAAACTTTATTTTGTTACTGATATTTTTCCTGTTGTGATTATTATTTTGAAAATGACTAATTATTTTATAATGATACAAATTGCATATTTATGAAATATAATTATATTATGTAAGCTTTAGCAATTAATTGAGGGTATTGTAAAATTTTGACATGCCAAATGTGACACACATGTCATAACATGGCCAATTAGTAATAAATAAATATTAATAAATGAATTTATGTATCGTAGGGTCGCGTGAACCCGCGCGACGACTTCAAGACTCGCGCTCGTTACCTGACAGAGAAGTACGAGTACGACGTGACCGAAGCGCGTAAGATCTGGTGCTTCGGCCCCGAGGGCACCGGTCCCAACATCCTAGTGGACTGCTCCAAGGGTGTGCAGTACCTTAACGAGATCAAGGACTCTGTCGTGGCCGGCTTCCAGTGGGCTGCCAAGGAGGGCGTCATGGCTGAGGAGAACTTGCGCGGCGTCAGGTTCAACATCTACGACGTCACGCTACACACTGACGCCATTCACAGGTATCTCGACCGAAAATCACATTAATTATTCACCCTTTGTCAAGTTAACCTACAAATTACCTTTCAATCACGTACATTGGTCAGTGGAGTCGGCCATTCGCGGCATTTTTTTGAAAATCTATCACATCATGCACGTCAAGAAAGAATGTCTGTATGTAATAGTATTACAACATTATTATTATGAATGCATAACATAATTAATTTAATTAATATTAGCTACGCATAAATGGTCGATATTACAACGAAATTATTACCCCCACTGTCTATGCTACGTATTCTCCAAGCCAAAAAAATAAGCAGCTGTAGAAATAATGCTAAAGGGTACTTGTCTAAAGTCAACTTGTAGCAGAGTGAGATTGAGAATTAGAACAATAATTTTATTGGTTTGCGATTTATTTTTCTGTTGCGTACAATATAACACAAAAACTGTTGTTGACAATAAATCTGGGAAGTCACAGTGATTAATAACATAACAATAAATTATTTCATGATTTTTTTTTTCTGTGTGCAGAGGTGGTGGTCAAATCATTCCCACGACTAGGAGATGTCTATACGCGTGCTTGCTCACCGCTCAGCCCAGACTTATGGAGCCTGTATATCTATGTGAAATTCAGGTAATGTACCGTTACACCCATACCCAAACAATCGGCAGTTCAACGAATATTTATTGAAATTGTATATTAACTTTTACCTGTTAAAATGTTTATGAGCATAACAAGTAAAGACAATCTTAAGTATAAGCAAAACTAAAATTCTCATATTAGTTGAACAATTTTAACATATCCTAGCATGGTGAGTGTGAGGATACTACCTATACCTTGTATTATCTATCACCCACGTTTTATCCTGAGCGGGCTAGCATGTACCGATAGTTCCGCCTTTCCGAGACGTGGCAGATTAACAGTTCTTTGTTTTGGCATCGTCCCCGATCGTAAGCTTTGCCTGAATAGGGGAACTAACACCTCTTATTAAAATTTTAACTAAACCTCGATTTGGGCTATTCCTACATCCCAAAATGCATGGTTTGATTCTTCTGAAACATCAATTAATCAGTTTTTCTAAGCTGATCGGCTGCGATGTTTAAGCACCATTTTTTTTTAATTAAAAATAATAATTTTAAAGACATATTATATCGAATTTTTGTATAATAATAGTATTTATTTGATGTGCTTTGTTTGTATTGGTCGATTGGGCAACAGCTGTTTATTGTATTTGTTTGAAACAGTGTCCGGAGGTGGCGGTAGGTGGCATCTACGGCGTGTTGAACCGTCGGCGCGGGCACGTGTTCGAGGAATCGCAGGTGGCGGGCACACCCATGTTCGTGGTGAAGGCGTACCTGCCCGTAAACGAGTCGTTCGGCTTCACCGCTGACCTGCGCTCCAACACCGGCGGGCAGGCCTTCCCGCAGTGCGTCTTCGACCACTGGCAGATCCTGCCCGGAGACCCGTGCGAGCCCAGCTCCAAGCCATACGTCGTCGTACAGGTACATTTACTCTACACCTAACCTAACTCTGTAGGGTTAATGTACAAAATGGAATTTCGTTGTTCTAGATTAAACCCTTCGTATATGGTATGGGGGTTATAGCTACTCATCTTGGAATCTGAACAATATATATGATATCGTCTAATATTTATTCTAAACTAGATGTTATCCTACATCACAGATGTTGTAGCGTATATCACCCGCGTAAAATGTAGCTTTTCAAAGATTAAAAAAAAAATCATGTCTAGATCAGTATTTCTGAAGATATCCTCTCCAAACTAACTTTAGTGAAACACACGCATGATGGTTTTCACACCATATACTCGCAAACAAAATTCGAAAGTTACCTCATTGTAAAATTAGTGTGTATTGTGGGATGCATGATGACTAATGATTGACATTTTCACAAATTCAAAGGTGGTTGTTAATAAACCTAATTAAACCTTGCTGTTGTTATAGACTACTGGAAAGGATATCGACACTAGGATTTGTTAAGAATGAATTTTTGTATAAAGAAAAAATATGTTGATTATTAATATGTTAATAAAAGTCTTGGAGAATCTACTAGCGAATTAGGCTACTAACATTATAAAAAAGTAAAATTGAAACACAGTTTACTTGATATAAGTAACCCTTCTGGCACATTCCGTGTCGTGCCGTAGCGCGTGCGGTGTGTGTATCGTACGCGCGATGATGGCGGCGGCCGTGCGACGGAAGCAGACTATATAACGACTGCGCTACAACGCTACATAGGACCGCTATCCTTATGTCCAGATATTGTATGCTGACGCGTGGACGATACATTTGTATATTTGATATAACTATAACTTATTTTTACAAAATTGACTGTAAATAATAAGGCCGTTATCTTGTTACAGGAAACAAGGAAACGAAAAGGACTGAAGGAGGGTCTCCCTGACCTAAATCAATATCTGGACAAGTTGTAAACGCCGTAGCTAATGCAATCCATAATGTAATATAATATGTAACAAACGCCTTCTGCCCCCTTTATTTCTTTTATCACATTTTGTTTGTTGAGTTATGGTACACTGCCTTGATTTATTTGTATGTACCGCGAGCGATAACTAAGGAAAACATTCAATAAAATATTGCTGGTCGATATATTGCTATACTAAACTGTTACATATAATACCACTATTATATGAATTATATGAATATTCTTTCAATCATAAGAATTGTTATTATTGATTGATGTAGTGGGAACCAGGACTTCATCATTACTTTATACTGTAATTAATTTTTAAATTATAATTTTCTATTGTAATTTGTGTCGTTTTAATCATTGCTATCAATACTGTTACATGGATGTAAGGTGTGTATAAATATATTTATTTTAAGAAATATTTATCTTATAAATTAGATATTTTTTGTATCTGCCTTTTGTAATTTTCAGGTTAAATGGATTAAAAAATATTTATATGGTAAGTTCCATTTATCACGAATATTACTCTTAGCACAAAAACTATAAGACAGTTAATGTTATTTACTTTTTTTTTTTCGTATGAAACTTGTTTTTTAAAATCATCATCATCAGCCCTTCTACGTTCCCCCTGCAGGGGCTCAGGCCTTTCTTATGGATGGTTAAGGAGGATGGGCCATGACCCTCCACGCTGGCTCAATGCGGATTGGAAGGTATTAACGACTGCAAATGCAGCCGGGACCAACGGCTTAACGTGCCTTCCGAAGCACGGAGTAGCTCGAAATAATAATTTTTTGCTCACCCATCCTGTGACCGACCCTTGCGAAAGTTGCTTAACGACAACGATCGCGGGCCGCGGCACTTATACACTACGCCTCCGAGCTTTTTTATTATAAATATGCATAAATGAAGTTCTGTTACTCTTTATTAATATCCATTCATTCCATTAACAAATATTTAATATTATATATTATCTAGATATTAAACTGTAAATATTAAAATTAATTTATTTTTCCCAGATCACCAGAGAGAGTGAAGTTCAAAGAGACAAGACAACTCATTGAATGGGTATGTTTATCGTATATTTTATAAATAATGCCATATTTTTATGGGTATTGTAAGGATAGATAACAGATTATAATGTTTAAAAACTATTAGTGCACAAAAACCATATATGTTGTCTTAACATGGAATCAAAACTATGTACTTGGTTATGCTGTGCCAATCCTTAAAAATGAATTATAATGATGATAAACTCCGCCCAGATGCCATAATGACGGTCAATTATCAAGCTCAACAGGACTGAACACTGCGAAACAATTATTGTAACAACTTTTTTGTTTCGAGATTGAATTGATAATTTGTTTTCTTCTTTGCAGCCTTGACGGAGTGTTCGCATCACAAGCCGCAACATCAAAATTGAAATTGGTGAGATATCAGATGGTATTATTTTTTAAAGGCCTAGAACTTAAAAAAAATCAAATAAGTATTTTTTTATGATGATCATTTACAGACCTGTTCTGAATTCTCTTGAGGTTAATTATTTTTTAATATCTGAAAAAATAAAGCTAAGCTTAAAGTACATATTGCCAAAAATTATATGACGTCAAATATAAATTATTATTTTTTCATAGGGAGGTGGCATCAGTATCTGTGCAACATGAAAATTTAAGGTTGGTAAATTATGAGACTTAAATTAAAGGAGATTAGTTAATTTCATATTACATCAGCATTATCCGTTGCTGAACCAATTCTTCGTCATCATTTCTGAGTTCTTAGCAAAAATATTTGAATAGTTGATATTAAAATAGTTATAAATAAATATTCCTTGTTTTATGATGATAAATCACAGACCTGTTCTGAATTTTTCTTGAGGTCAAAAAAGTTTGCTGAATAAGAAAAAAAAAACTAATTTAAATTGTACTTTTGCTTTCCAACTAACTGAAGTATCCTTTATCTTTTCAGGTACTCTAAGGATTTTCCCCTTCAAGCTGTGATATACAATATTTTTTAGTATTGTGTTTTGGGTCAAATAAAATATAGAACCGTATAAATTAGTTTCATTATAAAGTAATCCCAAATTGGAAAGATTTTATATTTGATAAATTTTACATTCTTAAAAAAATGCTCGGCCCATGAGCTTTTACAATCCGGGCGAAAGGTTAGGGGTTCGTTCCCATCTTAGAGTACCAGAGACAGTGGATTTTTTTCACAAATTTTCATTAAGAATGTTGGAAAGATAAATGTTTCAGTTCAAATGAATTTATCAGTTTACAATAACAAATGGCAGTTTAATAGTAGTTTCGGATATAAACAATTCTTGCTGGGCTGGACTTGATTTCAAAACTTACCATATCCACTTGATTGATTGTTTGAGGCTGTTTGCTAAAAAGTGGCCTAACCTACGAATTTTCATATTCGTACTTGCTACTCGTTCGAGTTAACATGACACCTGGCTCAGAACTTTACCTTCCCCGCGCGACAGCATGATGGTTAACGTTTTATAAGTGCAAATTTTAAACAGAATTATATTTTGCTGCTATTGTTCATGGATTTTTGATAAAGATGACAATGAGTGATATCTGCAATATAGAAATAATTTTAGTAACCATTGAGCGTAAAAATAAACTCATTACTTATTTTGCTTTCTTTCCGTCGAGCTAGAACTGTTTAAATTATTTCACCAATGACGCAAAACACTAACTTGGTTCCTTACTTATCTGAATTTTAACTTGAGCCACTTTCGGATACCGAAATCTACTGTACAGTGCTTATATTGAAAAATTAGTGTGATTTCCTATGTGAGTTCGATATACCTCTTGTTAATTTGAGTTTGATAAAAGATCGCAATATGCTTATTAGAAAATATAACATTCCTATAAGTCACTGCACAAGTTAAAAAAATAGTCGAATAGTGAAGAAAATAAACTTTTTTAGCACGCTTTTTGCACAACTATCTTGCCAAGTTAAAAGTAATTATTAAATAAATGATTTTTTTTTCAAGAAAATGAACCGACTTCAAATATAAATAAGTATTTCTCGTTTTTTAAGCTTAAATTGTGTTTTATTTTTTGAAAAATAAAAGCCTTTTATTATTTTTAATGTTAGTGATATTTTTTGTATGGGCATCACTTACAATATTAATGTCTTTATAAAAAGACTTCAACATTGTAGGAGAGAGATTTCGTTTAATGTTCAATATAACACACATTTGTTATAAGATTGGTTCAGAATTCACGAATACATCGGTAAATATACCTATTCACATAAAAAAATATACATAATCGTTGAACATAGAAGTTCCTCCTTTCCGATTTAGAATGATTTTCTATTTCGTTTTTTTTATTATTTTGTTTTGATATAGACACAAAATACTATTTTCGGGATGGCGTCCTATTCAAATTCATTTATTTGTCAAATTTTTGGGTATACAAAACATATGCAAAGGTGTTATAGCCAAATCAAGTCCCAACAAAAATCTGCCTAGTTGGCGTACAAATATTACATAAAAATGTCAGATTATATTAAATTATTTCATAGATTCATTATAAATGTCAATAATTAAATATAACAATGTTAAATGAAATCAAGTGAAATAAAAATACAATTATACATATGAATTAATTTTCAATTAATATTATAATGTTATGTATGTCATTTAGATAATCTTTTACAGAGTAATAACATTTCTCAAGTAAAAAAAGAAACAAATTAGTTTTGAATGAGCGGAGAGTCTCAATTTTCAATACATCTGGTAATTTATTATAAATACGAACGGCCATACAGTTGATTACTGTTAACTTGCAATCGTTGAGATGGGACATATAATCTAAATTTATTTCGGCAAGTTCTTTTTATAACGTCACAATTTTTTTTTAAACAAATCTGGATTTTTCTGTATAAAAATGCAAATTTCATAAATATACAAACAAGGTAGCGGTAGTATATTCAATCTTTTAAATAAAGGCACACAGCTATCACGATACCCCGCAACACACATAGATCTAATGCACTTTTTTGCACGAGAAAGGCTCTCTCTGCATCGACCTCAAAGACCTATCACGGGTACGTTGGTTTGGTGGATTTTTTAGCCTTTTTCATTTAAATATTTACCAATATGGCATTGTAAATGCAAAATTAATGAAATTTAATAAAAATTCGTGCCTACAAATTGTCTAATAAATAAAGATTATTAAAAATCCATTATCAATAATTCGCGAAAAATCGTACATACATGAAAAAACAATAAAGAGAAATTAAACGGACTTCAAAAAATCGTTATAAAGAGAAACGACTGAAAAGAGAGATATGTATAATATCACAAAAAAATATTTTCATAATAATCGAAACACAGAAATTGGATATACTAAAAATCTTTGAGGTCGGTACCAGATATATTAAGCTTCCTCCTATTGTTTCCTGAGTTGAAAAATAGTTAAACAAAAAAAAGTATAATTTCAATCGAATGTCTAATTTACGAGAAACACGTAGTCAAATATACATAATATACTATAGGTACTCCTACAAAATGTTGCACACGTGTTTAGAATCGCATATAGACTAACATATATGAATATTGCGCTATATAGGATAACCTCAAGTGCAAATTCGCCTAAACTGCAAAACCCTCGCTGCTGGGTTTTGGGTTTTGGTAATGGGCCGCTCTTGGATCTTAATTTAAGTTTTAAAAATTGCAAAAGATAATAGTATGGACTTGGACAATAATTAAGTGCTGCTGGGGCGACGTCAGTCTGGCAGTACCACGCCTATAACTTTTCTAAAGGTTTAGTCGTGAAATGACTAATTCGTGAAACGATTACATACTTAGTTAATTCTTGAAATGTACAATTCTTTGAATGATTGATTCTACTAATGGCCGATTCTTTAAATGACTGAATCTGCAATTTATTTATTTACTGATTCTACCATAGAATTAATAAGTACTACGTACAACTGGAATGCTAACTGCGATCTTTTTGACATATCAAAATGAACCTTAATGATATGTGAATAAAGTGTTTTTTAAATAACCATTATCTACATAGAGAAATGAGCT